CAGTGCTGTGTGTGTTTGCCATGTTTATTGGGGATTTATCTTTGATCAACATAAAGGCACAAGATAATGAGCAATAAGAATGATATAATGGAGAAGACAGCTGGTAAATTATAGAAAAATTCTGAGTAAAGGACAATGGGCAAGGACAAAAATCTGAAGTTTCTTCAGAGGAATGACAGCTGGGAAAAGTATAAAGGCCCTTTCAACAAAACAATTACTGCTAAAATTATTTTAGAATAACCTATAGTTTAGTTTTTGGTCTTAAACTAAAACTCCTATACTGTACAGACCTATACTGTACAGTGTTCTGATCTTAACTGTAAATTATGTTTGATAAATTTGTATAATAATAATAATAATAACAATAATGATGATTATTATTATTATTTCTATTATTATTATTATCAGGAAGTGTTTTGTGTTTGTGTCATTTCTATCACAAGAGGTATCCCATACCTGGCAACAGACCCTAATCGACTATAACAACTCTAACTATAAAAATACCTTTAATTACAATGTTTGAAAAGAAAAACACTAACATCTTTAATGCAGGTTCCCTTTAAATTTATTTCCACTAATGTTGTTGTGTTGGGGTCTGATAGCATGGACAGATTGGGTGTGCTAACCTGATCACAGCTGTGTCATGCTAATGAGACCCTCAGGGCTGGGCTGGACTACTGCTCTTTGTTGTGTGGTTCCCATAAGACCTGATCTGAGGTGATAACCTTTGTTTTACACTGGGCCTCCTACAATACTGCATTTTAGACAGGTGTGTATGTGCGTGTGTGTCACTGGATAGGGAATAGTTACATGAAATCGTCCTCAGAGAACAATATATCCCCCAGGGAAATTTTGAGTGCTTGTGGATTTGTTGAATTGTTCACACAACGTCTGAAAGAGGCCGAGAACAAAAGATACAGATTTCCATCATACAAAACCCTCACATTTACAGTCTCATCAGTTATGGATGGAATTGTCTTTCTTTTATTTAAAAAAAAAAAGTGTTTCTCATTAAACAGTTGTAAAAAGGTACTTTTTGATGAAAGGTACCATGTGAGAGAGTGTTCAGTAGAGCCACTCCACAGCTAGTGAGCATGAACAAGTGTATCTGTGGGTGTTTGTGTGTGTAGGTGTAGAGTCAGCTATATTTCCTCTCATCCACTGTTCTCTCTGTCGGATGATAGCTTGGTTGGCACTACAGAGACTGGCGGTGTTGAGGAGGTGCTTGACTTTTCGTCCTATCCACTTGTGTCTCAATCACCAAAAATAACTGCACCCCTCTGAAGAACTCCAGACTCTCTCGCTTCTTTGTGTCACTCTAATGCTCCCAAAGTGCAACTGCACCTAAAAAACATCTATTGCGTTTACTGTTTTATTTTAAATGTAAAAAATATAAAACATACATATTAGCAAATTATCAAAGATAATATAATATCATTTAGCAGTGTTCCACAAATAATGATATAACCATCCAGCAGCAATGCTAATTTTTTGTCACTGTTTCTATCACTCCGCGTGTGTGTGTTTGTGCGTTCCATACAAACTGGCAGTCTGTGCATTAGGGGTGGGGATTTTAGAGTGACTCTTTTTGCAGGTCACATCCATACACCAGTAGGTGGCGAAAAGTAAGTAGTCTTTATGAGTGAGTCACTGATTCATTAATTCAACCAATTCGTTCAAATGCACTGATTCTTTCAGGAATGAAACAAGTGACAGTGTTTACGAGTGAGTCATTAAATCTGTCACTCAACCGAATCACTCACACATTCATTCAATAAGGCCACTACTGTATGTTGCTTAGAGATGCAAACAGTGACTTCTCTGTCTTCGTTTGGAGGAGCAAAAACAGACAAAATAACTGGCAATACTGTCTATAAAATCTAAGTTACCTTATATCAGGGTTAATACCTAAAACCATTAAAAAACTGTTACTTGAAATAAAAAAAGTAAAAATAAAATATAAAAAATATACTACTTTATTATTTAGTTTATTGTTATTAGTTTTGTTATAAAATAAAACTTATTTTTTGTGTAACTAGGCAACATTTTTCATTTTCATTTAGTTTATCTTGATGTACTAAAATAACTGAAATAAAACTGAAGTAATGTTTTTTTTTAAACAATAGATATATTTTGAAAATAAATAAATAAATAAAAATGACAAAAACACAACAAAATTATTAAAACTTTGACTAAACTTTAAATTGATATTTTAAATATAAAAACAAATAGTATCTCAATAGTACCTCAATAATACTAGATATTAGCTTTTTGTTTATTGAGCGGTTGTATAAAAGCATTAGTGCTGCTTGTGTCATACTGCTAATTTCACAGTGGCGGTTACTAATGTACAGTTCATGTGAACATTTAGAGGAAAAACAGCATTCCTTCTCCAAAAACCAATGAAATGTCAGACTCTTATAGATCCTAAAATGTTCTCAATTACTCCATTTTTACTGAGAGTCTAACATACACAAAGAGGCCCAATAAATGTTTTTACCCTCAGAAAATAATCCAGATTCTCTTTAAATGTGTATTTAACCTGTCTCTGAACCTAAGAGTGGACACATCTATTGATTCCTTAGACAACATGGAGAAAAACTCAGTAAAGTATATGGCTGCCAAGTTTTTTCAAGAGAGCTCTCATGCCCCTATGGCTTACCCCCGGAGCTTTTCAAATAGCTGTGATAGGCAGCTGTGTCCCAAACAGGCTTATGAACATATAACACCCTCTCCAAACACACACACACACACACACACACACACACACTCGGCTGTGCTCAAAACAGGCTTATACACACTCATGCACACTGTGACAGCCAGCTGAGATCTCAACAGGCTTATGTGCCACAGGTTCCTGTGTGGAATCCCTTTCTTCTTTATGGTGAGATTATAATGAATCCATCAGTACAGATGCAGATTGGATTGGGAGGAGAATCCCTAAAGAGAAGCTTTTCTTTACCCATCATCTCTGGCAGCTCCCAAATCAAAGTGTTGGATTAACGCTCACAGATCCACAAGCACCGAGTCCTTTTATATGGATATATATCATCCATTACCTGCACATTAGCATCTAATATATGCTATTCCTGCGAGCGGTGTGTGAGTCAGCACAGTCACGCCGCGGCTCCTGTACTGAAGATATTACTTATACTGGAACAGAATGAGAATTTGGCTCAATTTCTCTCCCTTGTTCTTACACACACTTACTCCACATACAACAGGCCAGGGCCAACTGCCAAAGCCTCCATCTTTCTTACTCTTGTTTTCATTTGGCGACAGTGCTCATGTCTGCGTTTGTCTCTTTTGATAAGGCTTTTCATCCTGTTTGCATTGATTACAGCCTGACAAGTCTCTCTGATACACCATGGCCCATTCAGCCTAGCACTGCACACTGAAGCTATTGTAAGCAGGAATGTCTCTTTTCAGGCCCCAATCCCACGTATGAAAGCACGTCAATAATCCAGAGACAGAGGCGCCACACAATACATGCATGCCATGCAGAGTCGGACCTAGTTTTCTGCTCCACTACCAGGGAAATCAAGCAAAAAAGAGAGAGCTAGGTAGCGGAAGGTTGCATGCATGAAAAAACAGGCAGGCAGAGACTGAGAAAGAAGCATTTCTCACATACTGAGGATAATCCTGCCAGCTATCATTTGGAGCTGCATTAGCATGAAAATACAAAGCGTGTTTGTCAGAACAAAGGTGCGAATGAACAGGCACTTGGATATGAAACTGTTGTGTGTTTCCTCTCCATAATTACAGCTAAATCAGTTTCAACCTCTAGCAATGGTTATATAGCAACACATATATCTGTGCTGAAATTAAACTGTTGCAGGTATATGGCAAATACCTGGTTTTATAGCCCAGGCAGTGATTTGAAAAGAGGGGTGGAGTGCAGTCTGTCATCTTCAGCTGTTACTATGGTCATCAAAATAGACTTGACACTACTATGGTAGCCTTTGTCTGTGGGTTGAAAACTCATTGAGTCACACTTTTGTTGTATTATACAGAACGTTTTTGTGACGGGTCACTGAGCAAGCAGGAAATCTCTATTATCTCGGCACACAGCAATGGTACACAAGTAGCTTGTAGAGAACTTACTGTTCATAGACGTATGTCTGCCATTAACCCAGTTTAGCATTTCAAACATTTTTGTAATTCCAGGAGAAAGAATCAATATCACATTTGTGCACTGACAAAATTTAGTTCTCTTAAATGTTAGAGCAGTAGTATGTCAATAATAGCTCTCATAATGACTCCATGCTCCATCCTTGCTTCCATTCCAGACATTTGTTCCAGCCAATAACCCTCCCAAAAGGGATGGACAAAAGTATACAGTTTAATCGAACAATGGTTGGCCTTTTTTTTCTCAGATATTTGTATTGAAATGGCCCTGTAGTCCCCTGAGTGCAAACATCTTAAACGTGTCCAATTAGTCCGTTTAAAAGTACATAACATGTTCAGGTATCCCAGATTATTGTTTTATACAGCAAATGTCTAATATTATTTTTTAAATGATAAAAAAAAAAATAAACACAGGGGATTATTAAGCATATCAGATTACACCCCTATTTGGTGAACAAATAAAGACAGAAATAGTTGGTTACGATGAACCAGCCTTTGAGTGGAATAAATGTTTTGTTTTGTGGTAATGCGACTTGCATACATAGAAAAAAAATCAAACTGATATTTAGCCCCTACTAGCTTTTCCCTCTTTTGTTTTACGCAGGGCTCTTTTTACCACATGGTAGTGACAGATTGTTGAGCTGGAAGGAAAAGCCATTCGAAGCTAATTAAGCAGCCATTCCAAGCACTATTCGCAGGCGGGAGGCTGAGAGGCACAGGCATTTGTCAGAGCTCTACCCCTCGTGGGCTTGATTGACAGCTTAGGTCTCGAACTGACAACCCGTGTTGCTCTAAGCCAATCAGATGCACGCCAGTGCTCTGATTGGTCAGCATGCGCAGAACAAGGAGCTGCGCCCCACGTGGGTCTGAGCAACACATGATAGGTTGGGGTTTTTTCGGGCGCAGACGTGGGCATGGAGGGTGTTGCTGAGCAGACAGCGTGAATCAAGTAATGAGGGCTGATTTCACATAGTATGCTATTAATTTGAGTTACATTCAAAATCGGTAGCCTAACTATACATTGGCTATAGGGTACTCTCTCGCATCACTGTGACGTCCATGTTAGGGGCGTCCTTGGAAAGGACAAACCGGGACATATGAAGGATGTTTTGGCTCAATTCAGCGATCAGTTGCTCACATATTATTTTAAATCAGTGACGAATTCGCAGTGTAATCAAAACATGCCGTTAGAACATAGTTTATGAAACGTCAAAGCAAGCATAACCAGATTTGATGCAACTTTCAACTGCTTTCCGTTGAAACAACAGCAGTCGTGCTCCTAAATCAGTGAACAGAAGCGCAACAGACATTACGCTTGTAATATGTATTTCTTAGGATACAGTCTATCTCTTGAGATTTCAGTTTGTGGCTGGCCTTCGAACAATCGTCGCTCATGTAAGTTGTTTGTCTACGGGGAAAGCAACCTATTTAGAGCCAAGATGGCGAACAGAAGGTCAGATTTTTATTGGCCAATCAGCACGCGTGGAACAGACGCACCCCACGTGGGGATCCCACGTTTGATTGGTCGGAGGCGGCGAAGTCCCTTTCGAGATTTGATTGGTCGCGCTAGGTTGTTCTCGCGGTAGTTGAGCCCGCGTGTCAGTGGGCAGTCTGTGTGTGGTACTGCGAGTGTTGGAGAAACTAGGCAAAGCGACTGCGAGCGGTTGGCACGTACGAGGCAAACTTTTCACAGTCAGACATTTTTAAACAAACACGCAAATAGGGATTGGGAGAGTTTACCAACAACGGGAATACTGCGAATTGTGTCCAAGCGAGAACCGAGTCTTAACTGAGGAAAACATTCTCGAAGCGATTGTAGGCGCTGCTTTTCTAGGGTTGGGATTGATTCCCAACCAGCGCCTAATACTGATCGTATAAGGTCACGAGTGGAGGACTTCGACGTTTCCTCGGTGCAAGGAATTATTGCTGTACATTCGCGGAAAAAGATTTTATGGAGACTAAAGGTAACGCGGAAGATAACTTTAAAAAGAATCTACTTGTAATGTAGACTGTTTATTTGGCAATTGAACACTTTACGTGCTTTATTTTCTCCGTTCCCGTTTTGTAATTTGCAAAGCTGCTATTGTCGTATACACTTCGAGGCTCGACATTGTGCTAAACAGAATAAGTGTATAATTTTTTGACCCATTTATCGAGGAATTGCGAAGTTGACGGGGGTTCTGTTGTTTTATGTATTATCTATTGTTTTTACATTGTTCTGTAATCTTGTCGGGTTACATTCAAGCAAACAGCAGTCAGGTAATCTTGTTATTGCGAGAAGACTCATAAGTAGCTTGTTAGTCGCAGCGCAGATGACAAACAGCAAATGTGTGTTTGACTCGCTCTGCACAACTATTCTGTGTTTACAGCACAAGCGCAGCTGAATGCTTGACTCTTACTGGAGATAATGAGCCAACGCGCTGTGTTTTTGTCTTGCTCCTCGGCTGTGTGAAGGATAAAGGGGTTAAATCGGGTGTAAGGAGCGCGAGAAGCGCGTGGATCGGGTGGACGGTCTGGGCTTTGTGTGTCCGCGAGTGCAGGGAGGGGTGACGGACGGGTTCTCGCTCATCTACTCGGATTACTGAAGAGCGCCACAACCTCTGGACCTTCACATCAGAAAGGATACATTCAAGATGTATCCGCAGGGCCGGCATCCGGTGAGTAACATAAATTATGTTGATTCATTGTGTCCAGGCAACTCCGCGCCAAGCACGTTACCTTTCGGCCGTTGAGCTCGTGCACTATTGTGTCGCGTGACGTTTCCCTCGCGCGGGGTGTCCTTTATTTCTGCTCAAACTAAACAAGGATGTGCTCTGCTGGACGTCCGTTGACTTGCTTTTGAACAGTAGTGCATCTTCATTTTACTTTAAAGTGGAAAAATGTCTTGGGGGGGTGGGGGGAATGAAAGGAGGGGAATCGGCTGCTAGTTTTTCTCCGGGGCTGTTTAGACGCAGTGAGCCGTCTGTGTCACGCCGACCGCTGCTGAGTGTTGGAGGCTGTTCCCACTAGAGTCTCAAAACCACCGACAGGCAGAGCTCGAGGGAGAGCCTGGGCACTTCTGGCTAACCGCAATTCAGCTCCGATTAAATATCATTTCCCTGAAAATCGGGAAGCATGAAATGTGTTATTGACACCCGTGGTTATACCCATGACTTCAAAAACACAGTGAAAGTAAAACCTGAGACCTATGGACTGCCGTAAAAGGAGTAATGGAGAAGGTCGTAGGTTGTTTTGGTAATGGCGGTAGGAAGTCAAAGGTACAATGACATGCTAAAAAAAAACACTGTTCGTGTAAAAGCATACTGCATCAGTGACTAGGTTGGATTATATTGATAATGTGAAGTTTATGCTTTGCAGCAGTTCACATAAATTATTGATATGATTTTTCAGGCACCTCACCAGCCTGGTCAGCCTGGCTTCAAATTCACTGTAGCAGAATCTTGTGACAGGATCAAAGATGAATTCCAGTTCCTTCAAGCTCAGTACCACAGGTAAATATTGCTGTTAATGACCTGTTTGATGTGTGTGTGTTATTCATTTCACACCTGTTACTAGACTGTGAGGCGGTTCTGATGCTACTTTGATTCTGTGTAAATCAAATGCAGCATCAGTGCAACCTTAAACTTTGCTGTTGTCATAACAGATGAATAGTAGCTATAACAACATTATAGTATGTACTATATCAGTATATGTTGTAGCTTTTAAAACTATAGTTTCATATTTGTATTTGTAATTTCATATAAATTAGCATAACTTTGTCAATAAGTTGCCTGTGTATGTGACTACATAGAGCTCTTTAAGCGAATTTGCCAGCCTGGAATGTTAACTCATTCTGGGTCTTTCTCTCTCCTCACAGTCTTAAAGTGGAGTATGACAAACTGGCCAATGAGAAGACAGAGATGCAGCGACATTATGTCATGGTAAGAGCAAAATGTGGTTTGTTTTTAATCTAAGGTCTTCTATCTGTTGCTCTTTTGTTCCTTGAAAACATCAGTAGGGCCACCAGCCGGCTATCTGAGCTGGTGTTTAGTATCCACTGCCCTTATTTATTATGTGATACCGTTTGCATTGATTGCACTGAAGGATCAGCTTTGAGATTATAAGAGTGTGGGTGTTTTTATTTGTTGTAAAATGCCTGGAGGCTGTTTTGGGCATGGAGTTACTGCTTGTTCCATCCACTCTGACCCGAGGGCTAAATGTCTTTTGATTCAAGTGAGAGAAAGGCAGGCCTGCTCAGTTTAATCAGATTAGAATTTTTGGAGCAAACAGTGTTTAGGAGATCAGCCTATTGTAAATAACTTGTCAAGGTAAAATAAAACAATTATGATGATAATGTGCAGTGAATGTAAAAAACAACAATCTTCTCAGCTAACCAATTAAAAATCAGACAATGTATGCATTAATTCAATGGAGGTGTGTATAGTTTGTTTTTCTTAAATTATATAGAGGCCTGATCCAAATGAAATGAAATCCACCTTAAGGATGATTGCAGTCTCACTCAATTTTGAACCTTGTGTGCGATTCAAGAATTACACTAATATTAGCATTGCTGAACGCCTCTTATTAGAAGTCCACTGAGTGGAAACTTAATTCCATCAGGATGTGATGTAATAGTGCACAGGTTGAACAGTGTTAACCAAGCTCTACTCTCTCTTATCTTATTTGAACATGCAGTAGATATTGACTCAACATGCCGGCACCTTTGTTAAATATTATTTTTCGGAGGAATGCTGAGTGGTAAAAAGGCCAATACCAGATAAACGAAATGAAATACACAGACATGTTCTGAGAAAAAAAATGTTTGCAGTAGTTGTTAGGATGAACATAGTTTGATTGGCTATTTTGAGTATAGAAACCTCTTTTATCTTGAAATGACAGAGATGCTTATGATGGAACTGAAATGAAATTTTCAGTGAAAATAAATGTTTCTTAGAGATGTAAAATTGTGTAGAAAGGGTGAGTGAAGAAAGGTAGCTGAGACACATTTGTCTATCTTTGCCTAGTTTGTTTGTTTTTTAACTGCTGTTTAGTAACTGGTATGAGATAACTCTGCTTCCATGAATGCTTAGTAGTAAGTAAATGCCGCTAAACAAATGTTGCCAGAGAGTTTCATAAACATTGCTCTCTACTTCTATAATCAGGCAATTATCTGAGTCCTGGCTTTGTGGATTCTTTTTTTTTATGTGAAATAAATAGGGTGCTTGATGTATAGAGATGATACTCTGTCAGTAGCATTTTACTATTGTGAGTTAAATGCATTTCTCTCTTTTTTTTTCCTTGCAGTATTATGAGATGTCCTATGGGCTGAACATTGAAATGCATAAACAGGTATGTGATCTATTTGGACGCCATATTTCTTTTCAATGTGCATTGTGTAGGTTTCATTTGTATGATTATTTTTATTGCATGTCTTCTGACATGACATTCTTCTGGTTAGAAGGATGATAATGACATTACTCTGCAGTACATTTCTTAAAAGCCCTACATTGTCCAACAAAGGCTGTTTTTTCATCTGTCAAAGAGCCTGCAAGGGGTGCATGCACAAAAACATGCAAGCATATATTTTGAGCAGTTGTACATGTGATTGAATTGATTACGGTGGTTGCCGGCATAGTGGTTAGTGCATTTTTGAATCTGGCTTGTGCAAGTTTGAACCCATTTCCCGATTCTGTTCCCTTTTCTTGTCTTTGTTTCCTATGATGCCCCTATAAATAAGAGTGGCAAAAAGTGAGTCTGCACGCAACAGAACAAAAAAATAGCAAGAGAAAGATGGAGGCCAGATAAAGGTCATTAGGTCAGCTGCGTCCAGCAGGAAGTGTTATTTAACCTCTTAGTAATTGATGTGAATGTTTGGCATCACAGGCTGTCCTAATTGTTGTCAGCCTGTATGTTTTTTTTTTTCTGCAAGTGATCGATTGGGGTTTTGTAACCAAGTGAGGTTATGAAATTGATGCATTTTAAAAGAGAGACCAGCCAACACCCACGTTTCCTCTATTTCTCTATCTCTCTGTCATTAGTAGTGATATGATATATAGCTATATGAGGAGGGCTCAGTTTGAAGAGGCCCTTTATGGTTCTCACCCTGAGGCCTCACAAGGTTAATGGTATCAGTGTGAGGGTGGTGAATTTGAACAGCATGCACAATCCATCAGCTTCTCCAAGTGTGTGTGTGTGTGTGTGTGTGTGCGCCTGGGCCACATGTCTCTCTCTCACACACACTGCATTTTCTGAAAGGTTCTGTCAGGCACTTATCTCCAGCTGTGAGAGAGATGGAGAGAAAATGAAAAGGGAGGGAAGGGAAGGTGCAGGGGCTTTGTGCAAACAGGTTAATCGACTGGCTTTTTTTCAGAGCCTCTCTTTTGTTTATCAATAGAGCTCTGACTGAGTGGACTCAAACGCATGAATTATTCATCGGAGCATGGACTCCCTGCTCTCTCCGGAGTTAGTGATGACAGCAGTCTGATAACACATAGTCTGCCCTTCCTGTAGTGCTTTGGGAAAAGAAGGGAAAGGGGAGAAAATGCATCTAGGTGCCAGATTTGTCATGTGCTTTCAGGATCCACCAGATTCGGATTACTATTAAATAACTGTTTTATGTAAACATTCTTGAGAGTTTATAATTGTGCAAGGGTCAGCGCTAATCTTGCGGTATGTTAGAGCCTCGGGGCAGAATGGTGAGTTTACGGTCATGAGTGGGAGGGCTGACCGTGTGGGGGCAGGAAGTGGACGGCTGTGCTTGTCAATGTAGCCCTTTAATTACTGAGCCTCAGAGGCCCCTGATCTGCTGTCCCTCTGTGTTTAACACAGTTCCCTCTGTCTTCATTTTCTTCCTCATTTTGTCCTGAAGTACTCGCTGCTGAATGAATGCAGAACTAGTGTGTGTCTGTGTGTGTGTGTGTTATCATTGGTGTGGCCGTATTTGGTCAGTTCTGTGTGTGTGTGTGTGTGTGCACACTAAGCCAGATTCATTAAGTTAAGCTCAGTCTGTGGCCTTAGAGGGTGAGAGCGAGGAGGGGGGTTGAGACAGGCAGCAGGGAGGGAACTTGTTCAGATGAATAATTTATTCAGGATTCCAGGAATTGTTTGCCAAGGTGATGATGGTCGATTTGATTCTCAGCCAAAGCAAACTGGCTCGGAGCACACTGCAGTCTCTCTTCAGAAGTGTTTGTGTACATGTGAGTGAGATGTCTAGTGGTGACAAAATGAGCCCGCATTATCATGACAGGCCAGTGAATTCAGAATGCAGACAGAATGCAGAATGCAGACATATTTTATTCTGATTAGTTTGTCTAGTTTGAAACACAGTTTGTTTGAGTTAATAAGGGTTAATGGGTGTGGGTTGTGGGATTTTTATTTATTTTACAATACATTTACTTTTTAGGGATGCGCCAGTAAGCCTTTTCTTCCATGTAATGCCTGATATTAAACGTTATTATTAAAATTTTCATTATGCAAAGTAGATATTTATTTTATTTTTTGCTAAATGCAAAATAATAAATATAAATAAAATAATTTTTGCATTTGATTTAATTATTTTAACTGTTTATTGTAGGGATGCACCGGTATCGGGCCCGATACTGGTCTCCTGTAATGAAGTTAACCAACTAACATTATACATACCCTTTTGGTTTCTGTACCCAATATTTAAAAAAATTTACAAATGCAATAAAAATATCAGTATCGGTACTCGGTATCGGCAAGTACCAAAAATAAAAGTATCGGTATCGGGCGAGTACTGGAAAAAGTGGTATCGGTGCATCCCTAGTTTATTGAATAATGCTTTTAAGAATTAACTTTAAGTGAGCACTTTTTTTTAAATCACTTGGTTGAATATTCAGTATACAACATACATATGTTTTAAATATAAACCAGTACTGATGAATTAAAGTGTTTAATACTGAGTGATTAATCTATTTGTCTTCCTCAAAAAAGCTACATTGAATAAAGTGTTGTGTTTTTGGACCGCAATGTGCAATGAAATTCAAGCCTACAGGACATTTTAAGCTGCTTGCCACATTGTATATTCAGTGTTGAATATAGATACGGTAGTGTGTGCTCGTGTGTAGGGCTGGGTATCGATTCAGATGTCCCGATTTGATTTCGATTCGCATGCTAATGAAGTGACGCTGAGAGCAGCTGGAGATGACATTCGTGTTCATATCATCATATAGTGAGACGGCAGAAGCTGAAAACACCGCGAGTGTCATCCGCGCTTTAGTATGCGTGTAGTAAACAAAACAGTGCGCCGTGCCATCCGCCATTCATTCATTGCGGAAATCATGGCGCCTTATGCGTGATATCAAATGCTTCCGCAGATTTATAGTATTTCCATAGCATTTCACCTGAGCATTGCGAATCACGCGTATGGCCATAAGCGCTGAATGAATGACTGAATGAATGAATAATGAATGCAACATCGCACAAGGTAAATAAGGGTGACATCTAGTGGAGAAGACTAGTGATAAGATTCACGTTAATCGGATCTTGTTTTAAATGTGTGCTGAAATAAATACTGGAAAAGATCGATTCGCGGCTTTTGAGAATCGATATCAAATCAACGTCATTTAAAAAAAACGATTCATCGAAAAATCGATTTTTTTTCTTTCTCCCAGCCCTACTCATGTGAAGTTTGGGTCACATCTGTCTCTCAGCCCAGTGCACTGAACCAGGTGGTTGTGTCTGTGTCCTTTGTCCAGCTTTAGCAGATGAATGCACAGAGAGACACAAACACCACTAAACAGTTCCAACAGGATTTGTGCTGCATATGCAGCGAGGGCAAGACAGAGACAGCCTGTGCAGACGGCTGCTGCTCAGTGCAGCCTTTCAGCCCGAGGGAAGCCGAGGTTTAGAGGAGCCTGTGTCGGGCAGGAAGGAATGAGCTCATGTGTGTGAATGCCACTGAGTGCTTTGGTTTATTTGTTAACGTCTTATCTGTGAAGATAGCTTCATCTGTCATCAGAATGTATATATGTGGCTTTTTTGTGTTTGAGTGAGCATGTAAATGTAAGTTCAACTATACAAACTCACTCCCTATTTCTCTCCCTCTTGTCTGTAATTGCTCATTGAGTCACGGAGAGAGAGTGCAATGGTCTGTATGTGTGTTCATTTGTCACTGAGTGGCTCTCCTTCAGTGTGCAGTTGTTTTGCAGCGTATTTTATCCTCATCAGTGTCTCCCAGCACTCAGCTCGTACCCACAGCAACCGGTAAATGGCTTCTGGCGTACCATTGACAGGGCTGTGCGTGAGAGCTCTTCACACGCTGCTTGACGGCACGGAGCACCTGGGATGGTGAAGCTGAGCAGAAAGCCTCTCTCTATTGAAGGGCCTTGTTTTCACTCCCTGTGCCCTATTTTTTTATCAGCCTGTGTGGGAGCTGTTCTAGTAGCTTACGGCACGCCTCTGGAACTCAGCAATACCACACTTCCTGTTCTTATCCCATGGTGCAGTGGTTTAATCTGAGGGCAATGTATTTTGTGGGTTAGTTTGTATAAAGTGATTCTGATTACAATCCTTTTGGCTTGTTTTATGGAGTCTATCAAGAGTGAATATCATAAAAACATGTCCAGGTCACAAAAAAATAAAAATAAAGAAAAAAGATTATTTGCATTGTGGCAATTTCATGACTTTTTTCCTCAATTTATTATTACTTTTTTATTTTTTTTGGAACTTCCTTTAATTATCTTTAAATTGATTCTCATTATTGTCTTTCTTTCTACTATAAGTACAGTATTTTTTGTAACATTATGAGATTAGAGGATAAAATGTGATTGTCACAATGAAACAAATCTTAAAAGAAAGCAATTTTGTAGGATCATGATGCATAGACATGTTTGTTTTTATGATATTCCCCCTTGTATCATATCTTGCTTAAAGTGTTTATTTTTTAATGAATATAAATGTAGATATTTTTACCACAAGTCGCGTTCTTTGATTTCAAGCCAGCATCACAACAGGAAGCTGTTTTGCTTCCTGCTCTCTGTATTTAGATACTGTGGTGCATGGTGTGTTGTGTACTAACAAGTCATGTATGCCGTATATCGCTGGAAAAGTCATTTCTGATAATTACTGTAGAATATCTTCTCCGTCAGTCACCAGGGTTTTTTGGCTCGGGCATATGGGTAATGTTTCCCAATCTTCCCTCTCTTAACACACACACACACACACACACACTTCACCCCACCCATGAAAGAGAAGCCGTTACTCTCCCTCCCCCATCTGTCCCCTTTCATCCCACATTAATTTGCAGAGATGATCTGATCGACAGGCTGAAAATTCAATTTAATGACCTGCCCCTGTCCTCGTAATATGATTTTACTGCCTGTTGTGGTCAAGCAGAGCTCCAATTTACATAATGATCTGAGGGAGAGATAAGGGCGGACCGGTTGCTGTGGCAACCTTAGAGTGGCATACAGAAATGGAAGCCAAGGGGAGGGGGGGTGAACTGATGAAGTGAGCGAGGAAAATGAACCTCAGTGTATGGCTTACGTATGAGAGCAGGCAATGCATTTCAATATTTCCTTGTTTTGGTTAGATACCAACTGATTATTGTTATTGTATGTGTTTGTTTTGCGAAGGAGTATGCGTTTGTGTAGCAAAGCCGGGCTGAAAAAGCATTAATAGCTCAATGACTCTGAAGGGTTGTGGAGAGTGCTTAGATCCTTTGTTCACGTCCTTAGAGACAGTTCATCACAGGTCAGAACACATCCACTCTCACCCGCTCTAAAGAGAGACTGAATCCATCAGAGTGCCAGGGTCAGCACCCTCCCACAGGCCAAAAAATGAATGGAATGTGGCTTGCAGGAACGAAAGAGAAATTTCTCTCCTCCCTCACCTGCTGGGCCATCTGCTCCAACCTATAATCAATTTGTTCACCACCCCATACTTCATCTCCCCCCTCGCTCACACTTTCCTTTCCCTTCTCTTCTTTTCATCCTGAAGCGTTAGCATAGCTCATGATGAAATATAGCCCTTTGGGGCTTCAGGTTGCCGTGAGTAATGCAGGAGAACCAGAGCATGTTGGCTGATTACCCTGTCCGTCTCTCCATATCAATAAAAGTAATTTTGAATATTGCTGTTGGGCTCTGGTTCCTCGCCTCCTGTGCTGCTGGAATGGGAGCATGGGGGAAAATGGTAATTGCTCAGTATTGCCATCGTTAATCTCCCAGCACCAAATTAGCATTAGCATATTTCAGCATCTTAATGAAATAATCTGTCTGGGTAATGAGCCCCCCCCCCCCCCATCCCTCCTTCCCTCTCTCCATCTCTTGGCCAGATGGGCACCGCAGGCATTCTGCCCATCTTGGCCTGGCAGAGCTGTTGATTTGGCCAGATATGTTTCAGTAGCAGTGTGCTGGAGCGCTGTTTGGCTTTGTGAGCCACACACACCATATCAGCGCTCAAAGAGCCTCATGTTCATTATGCACCGAATCATACACATGGCAACATCAGCAAAGACAGACGTTTCTGAAGATTTGACTTCATTTATCAGGAGTTCTGGAGGTATCCCATCATGCCTCGTTTAGATGTGCAGAGGCTTGTTTAGAGCATTCAGCAATGTGAAAGTAACGTGAATTAAATACATTTGAGTGATTAGGGAAGAGCTGACAACATTTAATAACCGTACTGTTTGTATGTCTCTGTTTTTCTCGTTTAGACTGAGATTGCCAAACGTCTAAATGCAATTCTTGCTCAAATCATGCCTTTTTTGTCACAAGAGGTAAATATTCTTCATTTCCTTTCATAAAATGAGCCCATGCTAATTTTCTGTGTATTGATCTGTCTTTTCTCTTTCCTCCAGCACCAACAGCAGGTTGCACAGGCTGTTGAACGTGCTAAGCAAGTGACAATGACAGAGTTGAATGCCATCATCGGGGTACGTGGACTTCCCAATCTGCCTCTCACCGTGTGTATACCCCTCTTTCTTCTTCATTTGACCAGGGCCAGGGACAAATCTGCACTCATGCAGCTCGGTGTACTAATGCATTCATGCCTGGCTCCTAAATGACAATTGAATTTATAGAATGTAGTAATAAAAATCAAATTTGCTCTTAAAGAAGGTAAACCAGCCTACTCCGACAGGCGGGGTTTGGGTCAAAGGTGGTACATCAGCTGTAATCTTCCACTGTAAAACCTTCAATCCAACGCATATCACCTCAGCAGCTCTTAAAACAGTCCAAGGGCAAATCCGTGATTGCTAGGGACGTTTATACTTGTGTTCTGGGAGGAGATCAGGATGGTTGGTGTGTCTTAGACCCATCAGCTTCCTGCTGCAGATTTGCCCCTGCCCTTCATGGTCTGATTTTACTTTGTTTTAATTTGTAATGCCATGTATTTACACCATGATGTTTGCTTTTTCATGCCATCGTTTTTGTCTCGTCACTGTGTGCCGCTTGGATCTTTTGAGTTAATTTGTGCCTGTAGTGCTTCTCTGTCTGTTTGTCACAGGGTTTGAGAGGCATGTGGAGAGAAACATGTTAAGGCTTGTGTAGTTAAGCTCTCGTTTTGATCACACAAAGGGAGAAGTCTAATTCTGTCAGGGTTGTCTGTGATTAGCCATGTTACTTTAAAGAGCTTGTGTTAAGGAGCATTGAGAAGCTTCCTATTGACTTGGGCAACACAAACATTTTGATGCCGTGTTAGAATGTTATGGCTAGATTCTTAGCAACAGACAACCAATTGTGTACCTCATATTACCGTGCTTTGCACAGTTGTTGCACCGTTTGAGTGGGAAAATGTAAAATGGTGATAAACGTGTGAATTGGAATGAAAAAAGTTGTATTCTTACCTTTATGATCTGTAAACCTCATTCTGGAAATCTTATAGTACAGTTGTCAACATATAAGATGAGGATGCCGGTAAAGATGTTGCATGCTGTGGTCATCCAATCAAAGACACTGACACGGCAAATAAGAACGTTAACCTGGGGTTTAGGAATGTACTCTGTTTAATGTCAACATATGAATACCCAGGACTAATTGCTAACCTTGGGTAAAGTATGAGCAGGATCATGAAACATGAATTAAAGGGGTCATATGATGCGATTTCATTTTTTTCCTCGCTTTTCAGACCGATTAGTTTTGTAAAAATCGACGCGTTTCAAAAAGGCGGGGCATAGAGGAGAAACAATAATGTACAGTATGTGGAAAATAATGTGTTTTTTTAACTTTAAACCGCATAAACACATTTCATTACACCAAATACACCAAATAATGTTCTTTTTAGCAGCATCATATGACCCCTTTAAGATAATCCAGGATTCCATTTACCCGGGGTTTAGAATGACCCAGGGTTAACTGTGGTTAAGTGTGAAAAGCCCTTATATCAGGTAGTGTGTTTGATTCTAATCCGGAGATAATTTTATGCAGTGTTTTATCTAAATTATGCATTTCTGTAGGTTAGTAGACCAAAAACAGAAGTACTCTTACATGTGCAGTTATACCTTTCTGTCCAAATAATCACAGTGTGTATTGTTTGAAGGATTAAAATGCACACTGTGCCACTTGTGTCCTTCAGAGCAAGCACACAATGCTTGATGAAGACAAGCTACAATCGCATTATCTAGGTCCACAGGGCTCTACGCTTATTTTTCTTTTTAGGAGCGTGTGATACATTACTCAACGCTGCAAAAACACGTAGAAACCTTTGAAGCTCCCCTGAGCGATCACAATCACAAGTATGATGATGATCTGGTCAGTCGCACTGGTGCTCCTAAATATGTTTTCATAGTCGCACGCAGTAGTTTTCAGTCGCAAATGCAACTGAAATGGTCGCACTGTAGAGCCCTGGTCCAGTAGTCGGACGTTCTAAAACCAAGCTAGTGTGATTTCAGCTCGACTAAAGTCCCATTTACACCAAAAACCATAACTTTAAAGATAACTATAACAAAAGTAATATTAGTGCCCACACCAACAATTGATAAAATTATTTATTAAAACCAGTCCGTTATGCTGCTTGATTTTACATACTTGTATTTGTCATATTATTTGAATATATCATTGTAATGATAGACACACTGGTATGTAGTACAAATAGTTTTACGGTTTACTGCACTGTTATTTTTTTCTGGTTACGTATAGCGGTTAATAATCCAGAAGTCTTGCACATTTACAGAAAATAGTTTGCTTTTGTGTTTCAATATAAGGTGGATAATTATCGTCCTTGGTGTCAATAGGCCCTTAAACCATTTTTTTTTTCATTTTACAAAAAAATTGTTAGATTGTACTTAGTAGATTTTATTGGATGTAAAAGTACTTAGTGTGGCTATCCAACTTTGATTAGCCTGGGTTGGGCTAGTGGGTAGGAGGTCCTGAGCTGGGTCAGGACAGCCAGAGCCAGATATTGGAATTGAGTTAAGGGAAATGAGCCAAGACTCTGACCCCTGTTTTCAAGGTAATTGCTTCCTTGAATCTGCCTGAATGCAACTGTCGACGGGGCTCTATCATTTAACAGCTAGCCATTCAGCAGAGCAGCTTGGCGAGAGGTGGGGAGGCATGGGGGCAGGGCTTGTTGCTTCTGCTCACGCATACACACTTAGTAGTCACATGGTCATCATGATGGTGGATAAATAGATGTAGTCAGGCAGACACTTGCCGCACTGTTGCAGGAATTAACACACACTCTCACACACATCCTCACAGGCTTGGAAAAAAAACAAGCGTTTATTTGTTGGCTGGTGAGATGGCAGGAGATCAGTCTGTGCCCTGACTGAGAGGGGGAGGGGGGGGTCATTAAAGATGCACTGTTAATCAGGAGCCAGCAGCGTTTGGCACACACAGAGAGAAAGAGAGGAGAAGGAAGATTGTGAAAGAAGAGAGAGACATTGTGAGAGGGAGTGATGTACACAGGGAGGGGTAGAGGCAAATAAGTGTGTTAGCAAGAGAAGAGAGACGCCCATGAAACCTTTAGTCTGCGGTACCACCGACCTGTTAAAGTGGCAGTGCTGTACATGTCTGTGGTTTTGCTAATAAGTTACTGCAGATGAGGTTTCTATGGTAATGATGCTATAGCTGTGCCAAAAAAAAAGCAACTGTATGAGTAACACATACACTTACATATTTATGTTAGGGCTATGATTTGTCAAAGTAATATTAATAGTAGTAATATTACAATAATATATATATATATATTTTTAAAAATTTAATTTAGCAGTATTATTAAAAATAATTTAGTAGTAGTATTATTTTTATTAGTATAATTCTTTAAATTGTAAACTGATTTAAATTATAATCAGAAATTACAATTCAATTATTTTTCTCCCCATGTCGTGCAGCCCTAATATGCATACAGACTTAGAATGTCAGAGGTGAACTCACACTTCAAGACCCGATTATGAGAAGTCTTAGCCATTTACACCTATATTAAACGTCATCTTAGGTGAATTGATGGGTATTAAAAAATATTGAAACGCCTTTTTTTCATTTATATGAAAAGACTAGGTATAAACAAGTATGATCTGTCTTGCCTCACCACTTGAGATGGATATTAATACAGGTGTGATAAAGCCAAACTGGACCTTAATTTCATTAAAAAAAAAATGTATAAATGGTTTTAATGTAGAAGTTCGAGTGAATTTTAATGCTCATGTTTTAGGTAAAACTTCAGCAGCAGAGGTTTGCTATTTGTTTAGATATAGAGCACCAGATTAATTTTGCATACTGTTTCTGTTCATTTGCTTTTCAGATTTCACACTAGCAGCTTAAATGGCCTCGGTCGGACTCAAAACATGACTTATGATAAAGGCAAATGTTTAGCCAGTTATATTTGTAGGGTTGGGTATCATTTGAATTTTATAGATTCCAATTCTGCTTATCGATTCCGATATTCAATCAAGAACCGTGAATGATTTTCTTCTGTTCTTTAATTAACATTAATGACAGGCAGCACATGTTTATTAGGCTGCTTACACATGCACTTTCTTTCTCATCTGTTTACAGTCACAAAAAATGGCTGTGCTTACGAGGATATACTGACGTAATTTTGTGCATATTGGTCACAAGAGGTGAACGAGAAGTCAGTTGCGGCCCAGAACTAATTTTTTCTGCTGTGGAAATGCACAGAATGGTTTGAGAATGGACATCGGCCACTGGGACCATGGTTCTCTGTGCTCACGCTTCAGATGTCACATTAAAATCACATTAAAATGTGAATGCAGTAATCGTTAAGCGGAATTGAAATGCACGTGTCTTATCGAATCCCTGGTTCTTGGAAATTTGGAACCAGTTCTTGATACCCAACAATATATATTTGATACTATTATGCTATTAGCGGAAGACTAATAAGGATCAGTGTGTCTTTATAGGATGTTTAAGGGTGTTCAGCACTGTGGTAAGGTTAGAAACACACATTTAAATACAAAAGCACAAAAGGGTGTGTTCACACTTGTAGTTCGGTTCGTTTGGTCCATTTGGTCCGGACCAAAAAGGAAAATGATACATTTGGTCCTGGTCTGCTTAACATTCACATTGGCATTTTTGACAGCGAACCTAAAGACAGCGAACCTAAAGGCATAGTGATACGTTTACAACCTGATTGGTCGGCTTGAATGACGTATATATCGTGACTGAACTTACCGAACACCCCAAACAAAAGGTGCGTTAGACTTAAAGCGGCGCTGCGGGTGTATGATTTCAAAGCATCCATTAACCGATCGGTCTGCTCAGCGCCGCTTTAAGTCGAACATGCATAATGCCGTCAGCTGGACTAAGCGCGCTCATTCTTGCATGTACATATAATTTTATTTTCACCACCTGCAAACTCACAAGGAGCTCATACAAACGAACCGCACTAACAGAGCAATCGCACCAGGGTTAGTTTTAATCGAACCAAACATGACAAGTGTGAACATACCCTTAGTTGCTGAAATATTGTTGGTCAGCATTCATTTGCCTGGGTGGATTTGTGAAGTAGTGATGTGTTATTCATGAGTGAGCGTGTAATGACATGCTCATCTCTTTTCTCTCATCAACAGCAGCATCATGCTGTCTACCCTGCTCTGATGGTCAGTGCTAAAAACCTCTGAAAAGCCTCTGTGTATGTTATATTTGGGTTTTTGAAGTGAAGTTGAGACCCCAACATTCTTTAGACCCTAACGCTTCTCTGTTTTATCTAGTGTGTTTGTTCTGTGTTGTGCTACCTTTAGTCGTTGGTGTCAAAGCAATGGCTGCTTACTGGGAGAATAGTAGTGCTTTTTCACCTAGGTTTAGAAATGTATATTATATATTTATGATCCCTGTTTACATTGTTGAGATGACCACTGCAAGTCTGCTGAGACATCAATAAAAGTATTTGATACATATTTTGATTTCTTGAACTGAATGCATTAAAACTAAATGTGCTACATTTGCATGAGAACGTTTATGTATTTAGAGCTAAATTTCTGCATATAAAATCTTATATTATTTGCAATTACCTGTTCACGACTCCTATACATGCACTACTGTGCTTTTTGTTTGTTTGTTTGTTTTTTAAAATCCCTCTTGTGCTCACCAAGACTGCATTTATTTGATCAAAAATGCAGTAAAATATTGTGAAATATATTTCCAATAACTTATTTTAATACATTTTAAAATGTAGTTTATTCCTGTAATGGCAAAGCTGGATTTGTCTTCAGTGTCACATGATCCTTCAGTAATCATTCTAATATGCTGATTTCTTATTGTATGTAAAAATGAACTTGAATTGAAATTTAGTTTATTTGAAATATAATTTTGTTTGTAACATGTATAAACATCTTTACGGTCACTTTTGATCAGTTTAAAGAAATAAAATCATATTGACCTCTTTTGAACTTTTGAATGATAGTGTATGTCAGCTTTTCATCTGAAATGTTTTTGTTAAGCACTGTATGGACTGCATTAGTTTGTGGACTGATTTGGGGTTTTGCAGTTATTACTAATGTGGGAAAGCCTGTCTAATGTAGATTTGCGAAGGTCTTTGCTTTGGATGTATGTGTCACGGAACAGTTAATCCAGCAACAAATTGGTGTGGTGATAAATGATATAATTACTGTGTACAATTGTGGGAAATAAGGTGAAAATTATACCTAATCCTGCCACCACAGTGGCTGTTCTGAGCAGTATGTGATTGGACTCATATTAAATCCTTTTCACATCAAAAGGGATTCTGATATTTTACCCAAAAGGTCTAAATCCAAAATGAAGGCAGCACAATGAGAAATTTAGCTTTAATTGTAGTATTAGATGAAGACCAAAATATATATATATATTTTTTTTTACAGACAATAAAAAAACAACAACATAATGTTTGATTCAGATGAGACTAAAATCACACAATGCAACAGACATTTACCTGATCTTATCAGTTGCATTATCACATCTTCCCCTCTCAGCTGTAAACAGCCACTGCTTTGATGCCACATGTTACTGACTATTAAATTAACACTAACATAGAATGGCTTGTCTTATTGGCTGTTGTTAAGGAGGCATGGAGGAGTGGCTTAGCCTAGGAGATGGTAACCATGGACCTATGTGTAAACTCTCTGAAATATTACGGGCTGTGAGGTGACTAGTGAATGCCGCTCATTTGATGTTTACATACATTTTGCTTAACTCACTTGACTGTGTTTGTGTGTGTATGTATATATGTCTGTCTATATATATATATATATATATATATATTAGTATGTGAATGAACGTATGTACATTTTGACTCATGCACCCTCATTTTAATAGTGCTTCTTGATCGCATAGGATAGGAGTGTGTTTAAAACCTGTCTAAAGCTCATGTAATTAGTCAAAGTTTTGTGTATTTCTGGTTTGTTGTAAAAGGATGCATGTTAAGTAGTGTAGATGGTTAAGAGCAGTGCATGTTTAGAAATCTGTAGTATGTGTTGGAGTGAGCTGTTCCTGCTGAGCTCATGGAGGACATGTCCTTGTGACATGTCCTGCTTTGATCCAGCCACTAATGAAGGTGTTAGGGTGCCAGTGTTTCTTTCTGTGCATCCTGTGAGAGAGGGGCTTAACCAGTCACCTTTATTCAGTGTTTGCTGTCCATATGCCTTTTCCCTCCGACCCACTTGATGTACATGTGTGTGTTGACAGCAGCAGCAGCTCCAGGCTCAACACCTTTCTCATGCTGCCCACGGACCCCCGGTCCAGCTGCCCCCTCAGTTGCAGCCCCCAGGCATCCCTCCAGTCCCAGGCTCAGGGTCAGGTCTGCTGGCGCTGGGAGCTCTGGGTAGCCAGGCGCACCTGCCAGTCAAAGACGAGAAGAACCATCATGACCTGGAGCACAGAGGTAATGCATGTAGGCACTGAAGAGAAAACAAAAACAAATGCCCTGAAGTGGTATGCTCATGCTTTGGTAAGAAAATAAATGTAAATGCTGACTTGGTGTTTATCTTTATCCCTTTCTTTTAACGACTTCTTCATTCTCCCTTGGATAAAGAGCGGGAATCTAGTACGGTGAGTTCTGTCACTTTCTAATTTTCCATGTCTGTCTTTACTTGCTTTTTTTGTGCATAACTTCAGTTTTAGTCTGTTCCTTACACAAAACTACTGTATGGTGCAGAAGACTTTACACACAAGTCATATGGGGTTTTATTTCTGTGGTACTTATGTCCAACACTTGCTAAAAAAAAAAACTACTGAATGCATCTTTATGTACCGATATCGCAATGGTGTTAGATGCTGCACTGCCATCTGTCAAAGTGGATCAGGATGATTGTCTCTTAAGTTTTATGTAAATTACACTGATCTTGGTGAGTTTTAGAGAGGGGTCTACACAACAATTCCCTTACCTGTCCAACAAAAAAAGAGCTGCCTTGGGCAGCCGGCAGTGTTTGAGTGTGAGCATTCTCTTCTATGTTTAGTGAAATGCCATGACTCACACCATTTCAGCATGGCAAAGTACATTAAGCGGGATGATCTGCCCCATACTATTTTTTTCTTGAGTCTTCATCTCATATGAATGTATACCATTCAGTTTATTCTTCACAAAAACACTGTTTTATCAAACTTTTTAAACTAGCACCGAACTACTTGAATGCACATTTTGAGCTGGAAAACCGGTTTTGATTGTGTGGAAAACACAACTAGCACTTTCTTTAAAATGACTCCTGTTGTGTTCCACAAAATTCAAATGGTTTGGAGCGACATGAAGTAAATTGTGGCAGAATTTTTCATTTTTCGTTGAACTATTCCTTTAAGTCCTGATGTTTGATGAAGAGGGAAGTCATTGACATGTTAACAGCGTGAGGAGAGCAGAGCAGGCGGCTTTAGGGCACACTAAGCCTTTAAAAAAAAATAATAATAAAAAAGAGAAGGGAGCCTGCTGTATAATCCTACTTTTAATCCAGGTAAAAAATGCGCAAAAGCACAGGCCAGGGATTAGCAGTGCTATAATTTCATCACAATTAAAAAAGACTTTGACTCTCTATCTTAGAGGATTTGTCCTCACCCACTCTTCATGTCTGCGGCTCCTGGCTCAGATAAACCTGACTCATTCAACTATGTCTCATTGCCTCCTCCTTTGTTTCTCCTTGTGCCTCTTTTCTTCAGTTTTGTTAACTGCTCTTTCACTCATTCCTTTGGCTCTTTGTCTCCACAGCTCTCGTTCTGTCCCTCTGCATATCTCTTGTCGTGTTTATTTGTGGTTTTCATATAACCACTTAAAGTCTCCCTATCTCCCAAATGCTGGATTGCCCCATTTCGCCTCTTAAACTGGATATGCAGAAAGGTTTGACTTTGCAATAGAGTTTTGTGTGTGTGTGTGCGTGTTGAATGGGCAACAGTGTGAATGGGTGCAGTCATGCATGCAGAAATCAGACTCTGCTGCTGATTAGCGCTTAGTGCAGCAACGGCCATCCTGCTCTCTGCCCGCCAGGACTTCCTGTTGTCACGGGTCATCTGATAGCACCGCTCTGACTTTGCTTATTGAGTCACGTTAAGCCTGATTTAAAAGGTCAGCCTGTTAAACCCGCAGCTGAGACGCACACATACACGCTCCCCTGTCAGGCTGAGAGAGCAGTCTAGGTCTGTTTATTACTTTTGGATTAGCAGAAGAAGGGGGTAGGGAGAGAAATGGGCTGCTTAGTGCTGACAAAAGCAACACTGAGATTGTTGTAGAGTGTTTGTGAGTGGGGTTTGAGCTGCCGGGATTTCTCCAGTGTTGCCTCTTCCTTCTGCCTGAAGATCACTTCCTTTGGCCCAGCCACATCCTCCTTTTCACAAAATTTGATTATTGCAATTTACAATATTAAACAAATAGGAAATATTACTATTGTAATTCGCTGTAAAATAGTAAGTCATAATTTTATTTTACAGAACAACTGTAAAATTACAGTACTAATATTTATGGGTGCCTTCGTTTATTATGTTTCAAATATAAACCATCAAGCTTTCTTGACAGAAAACCGCAGGGAACCCTTAAATCTTATCTTTTTTTACACGACAGCTGATTCATAAATGCTTATCATTATAATTTGGGGGAGGATGGTTGGTGTGTGCTGTGTTTTCAAATACACATTATAAGTGACCCAAACTCACATCTCATGCAGAGATGGAGTTTGTTAGGTTCAGCATTTACTGTGAGCAAGACACTTTGAGAGACTGCTGCTTGCTTGTACACAAAACTCTTCACTCCGTAAAACACTGCGCATATATTTATTTTTAATTGAATCACAGCATTTGCAGGTTGATAATCGCACTAATCTGTATTGAGATTTCACTTTTATTTTGATTAATTGTGTAGCTCTAAGGCAGCAAGTGGTCTTGGCAGAGGGCCGGGGAGTAAAAGTTGCATACATAGACTTGCTCTCCCTTTTAAGGCCCACTAATTGTGTTGAAAGGGTGGCTGTTTGCTGTGTTTTAGTAGGGGTGGGCATGTGCAGGAGGGTAGGAAAACAAGATGTCGTCTGGCTGGTTAACTTTCAGGGTGAGGGGCAGTTTATTCTGGTCTGGTGTTTGCATTTCACTGTTATTCTCTCTCTCTCTCCCCCCTCTGTGCCACAGGGATCAGTTTTCGCTTGACCCTTCTGTCCAGTTTGGCGCATTGGCGTTGTGTAATGCTTGGTGCAGGTTGCCCAGGGCTGTGAGGTTAGCCCAGAATGTTTGAAGCGTGGTGTGGTCAGGCTGGTTTAGAGGCCTCACTCTTCAGGGATAGTTTGCTCAGCTGTCCCGCCTGCTTTGCTTCATGGGGCCTGGGCTTGCTTGCTTGGCAGGCCCCACGCTCTCTCCGTTTCTCCATGCCAGGGAGTACAGGATGACCTAACAGGGCCTGGGGCTTAACCCCCTCGCTTCTCTGTATTTACCTTGTACGAGCGAGGAATTTACACACATGGCTCGCTCAAAGCCACCAGGGGCCCGATGTCACCTCTGATATTTGTATTTGTGCTGCTGAGAGCCCAGGCCATCCTGAGCATAGCTGACTGTCTGCAGCTAATGAGCTGAACCTAAAGTGTCTGTTATGTTATACTGAGGGAGTATTTGTTTAATAATAATGTAATAAACCTGCATATATACAGTATCTCACAGAAGTGAGTACACCCCTCACATTTTTGTAAATATTTTATTATATCTTTTCATGTGACAACACTGAAGAAATGACACTTTGCTACAATGTAAAGTAGTGAACTTCGTCTTTCATATGTAACTGAAGTTTCTCTTTCCCACTGTAGGATCCTGCCACTCCAAGGGTCAGCCCGTCTCACTCTCCTCCTGAGAATGGACTTGATAAAGCCAGAGCGCTGAAGAAAGATGCCCCCAACAGCCCGGCTTCTGTGGCCTCCTCTGGGAGCACCCCCTCCTCTAAAGTGAAGGACCACCCACATGTAAGCGTTAGGGAATAGAGAATGGGCATTGATGGTGTCATGTCTCTGCACATTTGCAAATCCCTCTTCCTCTCCTCAGCTTTATAGCTGCAGCGAAAATGTCAGATTGAAGCGTAACATGAATACATCAGCTACTGTCAGACAAACAGCGGCTTAGCCGCTAGCCTTGGCTAATATCTCAACGCGCTTAGCTAGCCTCAGAGGGGAAGAGGAGAAGAGAGAGTGATTAAAGATGAGTGAGAGAGGATGAGGTCTCGGAAGGGTTTGGTCTGAAGTTTAGCTTTATCCTCCTCCGCTATAATGAGCTGTCAGTGTTTGACTGGATTAGTGCGAGAGAGCTCTCTGGATTTGAGCATTTGTGGTATGTAGCTTTAGCTAGCATTAATTCCATCTCTGTTCCTTCATCTTTCAGAATGACAAGTCCTCCACCCCAGGTTTAAAGTCCAACACCCCCACCCCACGCAATGACGCTCCCACCCCAGGAACTAGCAACCCTGGGCTCAGGCCCATACCTGGAAAACTACCTGGCATGGAAGCACTGAGTAAGTAGTAAATGCGCACGTCTTAAAGCTATCTTTTCATCAAGCATTCTCATTTGTCTAAACTTTTGACCATATTTTTGATCATTGGACAACTTTTTGACACCAGTTACCCGAGCTGGTGATGCTATGTGGTTAATCTGGAGTCAAAGATAAAATGATGGGGCTATGCTAACCAACCAAACCTGTAAGTGCGAGTATGCATTTATGGCTTTTCAACTTTGGCTTTTCTTCTTCATATATTCCCAGCAGCACCTGCCCTACGTACACCATTGTCAATTGCGCCTCCATATGGGGCTCCGTTCGCCATGATGGGTCACCACCCAGAGATGAACGGCTCATTGACTAGTCCGGGTGTTTACCCTGGCCTTCACATCTCCCCTCAGATGAGTGCCGCTGCTGCCTATGGACGCTCGCCTATGGTTAGACCCCCTGTCTTTTTCTTTGATTACATATACATTCAAGCAGAAGCTTGTTTTCCTGTTCCAGTTTTCTCTCTCTCTCTCTCACTCTCACTCTCTCACTCACTCACTCTCTCACTCTCTCTCTCTCACACACACACCCCTCCTGTTCCTCTAATCATCTAGAATGACCTTCAGCGGCTCTTTTCCTTAACTCAGAGTCTAGCTTCGCATGCATACCCTGTTAGGATAGCATTCCGGTTAAATATTACCTTTTGCGTTTGTACTGCATTTGTTCTGGATCTCTGTGTTTGTGTTGATGGCATGGGAAGTAACAGATGTTGGGGGGGGGGTCTCTAATAATGGCTTGAGGTGAGAGCTAAAGTGCGAACAAGAGCTTAACTGGAATATTAACAATGACAATAGAGCTGATACTGAGAAAAGTTAGACTACAAAATCAGTTTGTTTTGCAGCTTATGTATTTTTCACATTTTATTCTTTTATGCTAAGATGTCTGTGTTGCAGGCGGGCTTTGATCCTCATCCCCACATGCGTGCCCCTGGTCTGCCAACAAGTCTGACCTCTATACCTGGAGGGAAACCGTAAGTGCTGTTATTGAACTCAAACTGTGTAACATGCCATCTTTTTTTTCTTTGAAAGAAATTAATACTTTAATTCAGCAAGAATGCATTAAATTGATCAAAAGTGACATTTATAATGTTGAAAATATTTCAATTTCAAATAAATGCTGTTCTATTGATCTTTCTATTCATCAAATAATCACGGTTTCCATAAAAATATAAAGCAGCACAGCTGTTTTTGACTTTAATAATAAGCAATGTTTCTTGAGCACCAAATCAACATACTAGAATGATTTCTAAAGGATCATGTGACATGTATGAGAATTTATGATAATTGATCATCTCATCCTTTTATGCTCTGATAAATAGGGCCTACTCCTTCCATGTTAGCGCGGACGGCCAGATGCAACCAGTACCTTTTCCTCCAGATGCTCTGATTGGACCAGGTATTCCCCGTCATGCCCGTCAGATCAACACACTCAGCCACGGTGAGGTGGTGTGTGCCGTAACCATCAGCAACCCCACACGGCACGTCTATACTGGAGGCAAAGGCTGCGTGAAGATCTGGGACATCAGTCAGCCTGGCAGCAAGAGCCCCGTCTCACAACTCGACTGTCTGGTAAATATTGATGTTGTCTAATCAGTCCACACAAATCACCAGAATTATCTCTTATGAAGTACAATTACATTCAATTGACGCGTTTCAAAAAGGCGGGGCACAGAGGAGAAACAATAATGTACAGTATGTGGAAAATAATGTGTTTTTTGAACTTTAAACCGCATAAACACATTTCATTACACCAAATACACAAAATAATGTTCTTTTTAGCAGCATCATATGACCCCTTTAACATTTCTATGTGTAATCTTTATCCTCCCTTTAATCACCCTGCTAAATAAAGAACCAATTTTTGGGCCATGTATAGTTATTCTAGGGCAGGGTTCCTCAATAGGCGGCCCGGGGGTCACATCCGGCCCGTGAGAGAAAAAAAAAAGTTAAATTTTTTCCTGTGCTAATTTCAAATAATGTGGCATGAAAATTCAAACGCAGCATCAGAAAGCTACATTAAC